TGTTGGTGTGGGACGAGGGGGGTCAGAACAGTACTCAATAGTCCAGAATTATCTGGGGAAACTCAAAACACTGAAATAATTCAAAGGTGGAATATAAATAATTGAGAGGGCACCAAATAACAAATACATAGATATGGTGGTGGAATATTATTCAGATACCCAGACGAAAGTTGTTGCACTCCAGAGGTGCAAAAGACTGCTAAGTTTGGAAAGTATGATTGAGAGGAAGAGGATCAAGAAAGCTGCTTCTTAAGATTTCTCAGAGTATATCTTTAAGGATGCAAGTAGCTTGTTTTAATTTGGCCAAAAATTCTGTCTATAGGCAAGAAACAATGCAGCTGGGGAAAGAAAGCGTGATGCTTGTTCTCAAAAAAGCTCTCTGCTATAACTGCCAGGATGATTTATTTTTCTTTGGAGATGGGAAGCGGATCACTTTTTCATTTTCAGAAATGTTTATAACAGTCCTAGGTACGATATGTCATCACCTGAGCACTTGGTCAAAACTCATTTCAATGTCTGAAATCTCCTCCCAGCTTTCATCTTAATACAATTCTGCACCTTCAACACCTGTACCCTTGATCGCCTTTTTTTAAATCCTCTTCGCTGCTGATGAGTTGTGGGATATTTAAAAACAAATACGATTCTGTGATCTTTTCATTGGTCCGACCTGGAATCTCTATTTTTAATGAACCAGTAAAATATAGGGTTTAAGATGTTCCGCTAGGGCAGGGACACTCAGCTTGAAGTCCGTCATTAGGAATGTGTTGGAGTTCAATCCTTAATGGCCTGCTTAAATCTAACTGGTATTGGCTTTAATGTGGCAAAATGTGCCTGGGCCTGGAACTTCAATTATCTCTCTTCTTTATGCAACTGATTTATTTCTGTAACACTTGAAAGAGTGCCTTGGCTTGAAAGGTCTCAGAGAAGTTTCTCCCATGTTTTAGCTTCTACTATTTTATTCTCCCAGCAACTCTAAGAGGCAATTTGGCCTGAAAAATAGTGACTGATCCGGGGTTAAGCAGGGAGCATCCAGCTGGGTGAGGAACTAAGACATTAATGGGCAACAGTGGAATTCACTTAGGTTTACCACTGGTTTGCAACTTTGAGTGTGTGCACATGCTCGTGTCATGCATGTGTGTGCCTTCCACATATGTGTGTGGCCTTCCTTGCTCACATGGGTGGTGCACACACATGTGCATGGCATCAAAAATGAGGCTACATAGGACATTCACTGCTACCAGTTTGAACTGGTCCGAACCGGCTGAATACCACCTTTGTTAATGGGCCTCCTGCATGCTAGCCTGATCCTCTAATCATGATACATTAGGGCTTTTAAGTAAAAGCCAACTCAGGAGAAAATACAAGAGCGGAATCTTGCAGTGAGCAATTCTGGAGTTTTTACATCGCCATTTCCTCTTGGCCTCTAGTCTTATTCCCCCAAAATTGTATCCGACTCATGAGCAGCAGCCCAGAGGATGGATGCTTTATCGCTTAATTGGCAATTACAATCTTATAATTAATTTCACGGGGAAAGGAAGTTGGAGATAGCCAAATGGGAGAAACGAGCAGAAAGGCAAACAGCCGATTTGCAAAGAAGTAAGCAAAAGCAGGTGCCTTCATCTTGTCAATTGCCGCTTCACCTTCAGCCTCCCCCCGCATCTCTGAGCTTGCTACGCCTCCATCAAAGTCCACTTTTTTAAATATGAAGTGGTCCGTATCTGTGACAGGTAATTATAACAAACTGCTCTTAGATCGGAGGTTGTACGGAAGGAAGCCTTCGCAGGCTTCCAGCCTCTTTAGAATTAAGACAAGAGATGGGAAGTGGTTGGGGAGGGGGGGGGAGAGAAAGTCCGTCTCATCTTGCCACTTTAAACACCCGCCTATAAATTCTGTCACTGGCAATCACTTCTGGGAGAAGAGTGAAATAAACAAGTTTTCAAAAGTGTCACTGTGACAACATGTCAATGAGCCCAACGTAGCATCTTTCAGACCAAAGGGCAGCCTTCATTATGCATCGTCAGCTTTCTACACCCAAAAGCGGAAGAAGCAGCAGAAAATATATCTGAATTTTCAAAGAAGATTCCCTTCAGATTGACTTTCCTCAGGTCTGCCAATCCTCTTCGCTGCCTTCTCTCTTCCCTTTTTGTCATTTATAAGCACCACTCCCCCTTTGCACCTCTATTGCTTAGCTTATTTTATTTTCTGACTTCTTTTTCGGAGTTAGTTGACATATAGATTCTGCTCCTGTGGAAATTTCCTGTGGAAATTCAGGTTAAATAGTTTGTGGAAATGTGGGAAGTTATCATCCAGCCCTCTCCCAGAAAAATGAAATAAGCTAAGCAATATTGAAAAGGCAGAATATTTCTCTGGATGCGAAAAGAAAGATATATGTTTTAAAAAACA